CCTTGTTCTGTATTGATTCATACAGGAGAAATTAGTCGATGATCAGACGAGGTACTATTACACGAAGTACAAAACAGCAGAATTTTGCGAGTACTTGTAAGGTGTTACTGAAGTCATTCTAACTATATCTCAGTTAAATGCATCATTTTGTCAAGCAGAAAGTGGAGGTGGTCACTTACAAGAGGTTTTTCTTAGAATATATCTGACTGCATGTGTATTGGATTTAATCGAAGTTAAACTTATGTCACGTTTCAATTGTGGTCACTTTTGAAAGGTGATCTCTCGGAGAGCGGGTGTTCACGGTTTGACTACATCTCCGGCGATGAACTAAACTCGGTAACAGCAGACCTGAATAAGAACTGACAATGTTTAGTTAGATCGATGACGAGTAGATATACGAGGTTTTTTCAGCTCGGAATATCGTTCTTCAGACAAATTATAGCACCTATATATAGGTGATACATCTTCCTAATTAGAGGGTACATTTCATGAACAAATATGAAAAGCTTAAACTTAGAGGCGTACAAACGCCGTGATCGGCTTAGTCGCCTTAATACCTTACTCTTAAAGCTCAAATTCAAAGATCCACTGATGCAGTTCCAAATTTTCACAATATCAAAAAGCGAACAAAATTGCACGGGTTTCATGTACAGACTTAATTAAAATTTAGAACCACCTTGTAAAATATTATAAACAGTACCACATGAACAAAATGCTCAGTACCTTTCATTTAAAAATTCACAGTACAGTAGCTTGGGTTTCTTCCACAGAAAGTTATAGAACGTAACTACGTTGTATGGCATCATTGGTAAACAACTGAAAGTACATGTACTGCTCAATAGCTTTCATTTGAATAATCGCGCTCTGGGTTTTCAGCCGCAACTCAGCTCAAAACTAGAACCTCGTAATTTTACTCATGGTGTGTACTCGTAGGGCATCGGGAAAAACTGAGAGGTCAAGACTGAAGAGTATGACCAACAACCCTGAGGGTTGTAAAAATAACCAGATTGTTTCAAATCAATCGCTTTTCTGGATTTTTTTACGGGCCACTGAACAGCAGCGCTATCATAACTTGAAGTCATAAAATAAGTGCTCATTGTCTTTTTTGTCGGGTCAGTTACCTGCAATATTTTCTTGGGGAGTCTTCGTAGGCTCTCTTCTTTCGCCTTGACACATGAAGAATGTATAAATATCATAACAACCCGAAGTGATGGAACATCTGAAGATATATTGCCTTGGCATGAGCCGATGATATGTTTGATATGGAGAGCTAGACTCGGTGCTGATAAGAATATTAATTACACCCAGCTAATTGATAGAAATGATGGTAAGAAAAAAAAAAAAATTATATGAACATATTTTGGGGAGGGAAAGTTTTGAAAACGATTTACCTAACGAATAAATATCATGGAAAAAAAAAAGATGAAATCGCTAGCGTAAAAAAGATATTGGCAAGTGATATTAATACTGCATTGTCCCTAGAATTTAGCTTATTTTAAGAGACTTTCGTAACTGCATTTTGTTTTCGGTTGTCTTGAAATTTCGCTTTGGCTTAGTTTGGAAGGCAGGCAGCCTGAGTTTGTTAAATTCAGCCTCAAACTCCCAAAACCATTTAAAGTATATTGTAACTGAGCTGTTTCCAGCACTTTCCAGCAGTTATACTTTGACGTGTCAATATACTCTCACAGTTTATCCAGTGATAAGTTCTAATATTGGTATCACATAAATAAGGGAATAACATGACATTTTTGGGGAATACTGTTAATTTGCACCCGTGTAGTGTCATTCGCAGCCCGAACGCGAAGCGCGAGGGCCGCAAATAACACTACACGGGCGCAAATGAGCAATATTCCCGAAAAAAGTCATGTCACCGTCATTATTATCAATATACAAGGCCAAATAATATCAAGAATGCGAGTTTTAATAATACTTAAGCAATATAGCACTTTTTTCCTTGTTTACATAGCCTCACCTAAACACGAGGAGGGTTGGGAGAATTCGAGACAGTTATGCAAACTTTAGACTACCACGTACGTCTCGGGTTCGCAAATCTTTTGAGAATTCTCCTAGGTGATCATGAGTGTTTCCACAGCTTTTTCAAGTTCTCCCAAACTTTCACGAGTGTTTCTATGAAGCAATTAGATTATGAGCTCGAGATTTCTATCGCGTGATAGTTGACGAGGGCGCAACCCCAGTTAACTATCACGCATAGAAATCGAGAGCGAATAATCTAATTGTTTTGGTATAATTCTACTAGTCGTTCAAAACTTTATCTAAATCCTCTTCACAGACACTTCGAAAATGCCAAGAAGCGACTGTCATTTTGTTCCAAGCGCACACTGCTACGCTACTCACTATCTATCACAGATTAGTATAAATCTACTAGAGTTCTATCATGAAACATCTTTGTAACATCTTTGTGCATGTCCAGAAGCTCTTTGGAATTGGGAAATCGGATATTTGTGGCAGAAAACCCAGTTTGCGCTGTCTTGCCGACGCTCTCTCTGGGTTCCTTGAATATCGTCATTTGCCCTGTGAACAATAGCTGCAACTTTGCTGGTAATTATGAATTGTCTTTTTGGTCATCGAATGACATTATCACACAGACTAATGAAGCGCCCGTCTTAAAGTATATTACTGCCCGTCCTTCATTTCAAAGGCGACGCAAGATCCGAAGGCATAGACGTCCGTGGGCTTATTATTCCAACACAACAGCCACATTCCATGATCTGTTAATTGGAGATCTTGTTTTCAAGCTGAATCCCGGCCCCACAGGTGAAAGAATACCTGTTATTGTTTCAACGCGCAGTGATTACCGACACATAGCACAATCGACAATGCCATCTCGTAATACCGGGAACTTAATCAACATCAATTGTTCTGCCGGATTATCCTTGAATGGATATTATAATCATCTAATGACATTATGCACATTCAATGCTCGTTCGGTTAAAAACAAGAGCGCTGTAATTTTGGACTATATATGTGATTGCAAAGCTGATCTTTTTGCGGTCACCGAGACTTGACTGAGTGCGGACGATGCAGCTGTACGGGCGGAGTTGTGCCCCGACGGGTACAAGTTTATAGATCACCCCCGTCTTGGGCGTCGTGGCGGCGGAACGG